CACGACCTACACCATTTACCGGCGATACTCTCAAGAATGCATGGTCTCCCTCTTGAAACTCAATATCCTTCCTCCTCTTATCATGGTAATTCTTTTGTCTACTCTGCGACAACTTCATCTTTTCTCGAATCAATTTCACATTCTCCATAGTTTATCGCACAATTTCAGGTCCGAGCACTACACTTTCACCAGATTCATACCAACATAAAGGTGTTCGACACCTCCGACCATACCATGCCTCGAAAGGTGCCATGCCAATACTAGAATGAAAACTAGTTATAAGTGAACTCAATATGTGGAAGATAACTATCCCATTACCTCCCTACTTAAGAACACTATTCCTCAACAAATCCTCTAATGAAAGAATAGTCCTCTCTGTCTGACCATTTGTCTGCGGGTGATACGCAAAACTCAATCTCAGCTTAGAATCCAACGCATCTTGTAGGATCTTCCAAAAATCAGAAGTGAATCTCGGATCTTTATCTGATACAACACTTGACAGAATACTGTGTAGCTTTACAATCATGCAGACATAAATGTCTGCCAACTTAGGTACATGAAAACTGATATTAATCGGGATGAAATGAGCTTATTTTGTTATCCTATCAACAATCATCCAAATTATATCATGTCCTCTTGGATTATTTGGAAGCCCCGTCACAAATTCCATCGATATGGTATCCCACTTCCATTCTGGAATCTCTAACGGTTCCAACAATCCTGCAGGTTTCTGATGTTCAACTTTTGACTTCTGACAAGTCAAACATGTATACACGAACCGCGTTACATATTGTTTCATTCTGGACTACCACAATAACTTCTTCAAGTCATGATACATCTTAATAGCTCCCAAATGAATACTCAAACTACTCATATGACTTTCTTCTAGAATCATCCTTTTCATCTCTGCGTCATCAGGAATACAAATTTTGTCGCAGAATCTCAACCCACCTTGGGCATCTACTTTAAAATTGCTATCCTCAGATTGGTTACTCCCAGCCATCAAGTCTACCAACTTCACATCTAATTTCTAAGCCTCTTTAATATTCTCCAAGAAATCATTGTTAATCTTCAACATTCCCAACATCACACTCTACAATGTCACTTCACATACTAAACTCGTGTCTCTGAATTACTCGATCAACTCTAATTCTATGACCATCAAGGCAAACATATGTAACGTTTTCCTACTTAAAGCATCTTCCATAACATTAGCTTTACCAGGGTGGTAATTTAAGCCAAAGTCATAGTCTTTCAATAATTCTAACCACCTCCTTTTCCTCATGTTCAATTCTTTCTGATCAAACAAATACTTTATACTTTTATGATCACTAAACACTTAAAATCCGAACCATAAAGGTAATGCCTCCAAATCTTTAGTACAAACACCACTGCAGCTAATTCAAGATCGTGAGTAGGATAATGCCTTTCACGAATCCTCAAATGTCTCAACACGTAAGCTACTACTTTATCATTCTACATAAGCACACCACCTAAACCCAATTTAGAAGCATCACAGTACACCACAAACAGTTTTTCAGTCTTAGGTAATATTAGAATTATAGCCGCCATCAATATGTTCTTTAGCTCTACAAAACTCTTTTCATATTGCTCGCATATTCACTGATTCGATGTCTATCTCACCATATTTGTAACATATGATGTTAGTAGGAGTACCTCTTCCATGTGGCATCTTACCATCATAAGCACTCTGCTTTCCTTTCTTAGTTGGATCGTTGTAAGGCTTCTCACGATTCTGTTGTTGCTTGGATCTCTTATCATTCATAATCTTGTAGTGAGCCTTACTATCTTCCTCAAAAATCCTATAGCTATTCACGAAATCTGGAAATTTACAAATTTGTTGATACCCAATTTCCTTCTTGATCTTTGAACGTAAGCCATTTTCAAACTTTATGCACTTTGAAAATTCAGCAGTTACCTCGCTGTAGTGAGGATAGAACTTTGTCGGCTCTACGAACTTAGCAGCATAATCAGTTATTGACAACTCCCCCTGCTTCAACTCAAGAAATTCAATTTCTTTCTTCCCGCGAACATCCTTTGGAAAGTACTTTCTCAGAAATTCTCTTCTGAACACCGCCCACGTAATCTCTTCTTCTTCACTATTCGGTCTTTGGCGAGTACTCACCCACCAATCATCAGCCTCTCCTTCTAGTTGTTATGTTCTGAAACATACCTTTTGTGCATCCGTACATTCCATAACCAGAAGGATCCTCTCGGTCTCCTTGAGCCAACTTTGCGCTTCATCAGGATCATGCTTACCCTTGAATATATGTGGATGGTTCCTCTGGAATGTTTCCCAGACACGAGATCCATCCTTCTCACCAGCATTAGGCTGATGTTGTATAACCTGAGCCAAAGTCTGCAAAGTAGCAACAAGTGCAGTATCGTTCTTACACCATTACTCTGTTACACATCATAACATCAAACAATGGTTAGACGAAACACATCGACAATATTCAACTGTCACACTACACTATTGACTCAACAACCTGGCCGGACAGACTGACCTGTCCTGATACCAATTGTAACACCCTAAATTCCCTGACGATTAATAATACCAAAAAAAAATAGAGTAAATATATTTTTTCCTTCACAACACATTTAGGATGCTACATCTTCTCAAAACAATTAGAATTTGCTCAAGGTAATAAAAGAGATACATAACTCCTTTTGGATAAACAACAAGTACCATAGTCTTAAAAGTCAACTTTATTAAGTAGCAGAAAATAATTCATGTATATTATTCAAAACAATCTTCAATTCAACATGAAATATAAATCAAATTATCCAAGAGTTTACAATACTCCACAACAATCACCAAAATAATTAAAACATAACGAGCGTTTATCTCTCAACCCGGTGTTACATATTAGAGCACGACACCAACTCTAAAATAAGACTGAAGAGAAACCTCTTCAAACTCCATAGCAACGAACTACTTCTGACTATCTGAATGTTATCCACGTAGAGGCAACATTCAAACAGAAGGGGCGAGATATCACAATAATATAAAGAAAAATATAATAATAAGTATACATAAATATATCATGTATAATTATTATATCCACATCTCACACCTTCAAATCATCAACAAAATTAACGGGCATAAACAACCACACACAACACCATTATGCTAACAACAAGGCATGCAATGAGATACAATACTGACTATATGCATGGACTACCAATATTATTCCCGAATCCACGCCATCTAGGACTAGAGCCACCATCATTTATGAAAAATTTGGTCCACTTTACTTACGATCCACTCCATCTAGGATCAAAGCCAACAACAACATGAATATTTATATTCACCTCGCTTTCTATCCACGCCATCTTGGATCAAAGCCAACAACAACAACATGAATATTTATATTCACCTCACTCTCTATCCACGCCATCTTGGATTTGAACCAACAACAACAACAACGAGACTAAAATCCTCAACAAAGGATGCATACACGACCATGCAACACAATGTCACATCGATATCATCATCCACCAATGCAACTTACCATTACTGGCTACCTGCCATCTTTTACATGCAACAGTACACCATATCGCAGACAGCGAATCCGCATAATCGTATTAACACATATGATGAGAAATTCACACAAAAGGGCCTAACATCATCATATCTACTATCTTTGAAATTATTTTTATAGGAAATAAAATGTTCTCAGCTTCCCGTGGGTTCAAACGGCGCATCAAACGGACACCTGAGTTAAAATATATGAATTTTTCAAGTTTTAAAAATTTCTGTCAACTTCAGTGGTAATCGGTTACTGCATAATGGGGAACCGATTACACCCCTATAATTCAAAAATATAAGTCACTGTCCAGTTGGATAACCGGTTAACACCTATGCACTAATCGATTACACCTTCACGTTTTTTCTCAGTTTTCTCAAAATTACACAGGATAACCGATTATCCCATATGCTGTACCCGATTACACTACGTACAGAGTCAAAAATTCTGCTATTTTTCCTGCTACGAAAATCATAGTTTTAAAACCTCAATTCCCATTAATTCAATCAGAAAATGCCTTTCAAGTATACCAATTACTCACAAACAATGCCTATCAATCCGACTCAGTTTACATCATCAATTTCACCAATTATACACACAAGTACATCAAAATTTCATCAATAGGCAAACATCCCATGAACAAAATACGGAGAACTCAAGAATCAATTTCATGAACAAAACAATACACTAAACAACCACAACAATCAATATCCCCGCATACCTATCATTATACTATCCCTTAGAAAGTTGGAATCTCACTCTTACCTTTGGATTGAAGGTTCTCTAAGCTCCAACAATGGTACCTCTTGCCCTAACTTTTCTTCCTTTCTCTGATTCTCTAAATTTTTCACGATTGTACAATGAGAATACAAAAACCTCCAACTTTTCTTAAGTCTTATTTTCCTTTAGGACCCCTAATGTATTATTCCCACTTTAACTTCACTTATCCCATCTGACTTTACTCAAACGCCCTTAACATTCTTTCATCAATTTATCTCTACTTAATTAAATAAAATTTAGATAAATATTTACTAATTTTCTAACTCACTAATAATTTTAATAATTGTCTCTAAATTCTATAATTTTAATAATTGTCTAAATTCTATAATATCCAATAAAATTTTAAATCTCCAATACTCTTCCAGGTGACTTAAATCAGATATTATTCTATACATAATAACACAAAATCACATATTACATCAAATAATTTACGACCACATGATAAAATAATTAATTTAATATTTGAGGCGTTACACTTATGATTAAGCATCACATATGATGTTCTGGAAAACTCTTGACTCATCCAAAATCCGGATTCAGTTGAGAAGTGGCGGCGATTGTCTCGTCGTCTTCGGAGTCCAGATACCATGGTTAACATAATCTTATAACAGCCACAGGAAACGTCATGTTTTATTACAAGAAGCAGTATATCAGTGCGTATACGGAAAGATGGAAGGGTGGACAGCGGCGTCGAGAGAAAGTGCAGGGACTAGATCTTCCATGTTGGACAGGGGCTGCATCACCGCCATCCGTATATTTGATTACAACTCAGCGGTCCGAGTACGCACAGCCAAAAATAAGTTATTTACATATTCTCCATCCGTATATGAAGTTGCTATAGCTTGGGGACTTCATTGGGTGACTCGATTCGTTCTTGATTATTGGTTGATTCATGAATAAATATCGATCCATGATTTTCCATAGAGTCCTGTTTGCCATGCTAATAGTGTTCTTACTGAAGAGAATGGCTCTACCTAATTATTTGGGTCCTTCACTTGTATTGAAGAGAAGCTATTTAACAAAACATTGCTAATTAAGAGCACAATCTGTGTTTCAATGTAACGTATCATGCTAATTAAGAGTAATAATTGATTCTTGAATGATTTTCTTGAAGGTGATAATAATATGTTGGAACGTTGTCTCTTGAACTTTATCTTTTGAAAATTATCGTGTATCTTAGGTGTTGATAATAAAATACATTCCACAAAACTTATATCTTAACTTATGACTTTTCAAGATAATCCAGATTACGAGGAAACTTCGCACAAATAAGCATACCAAACTATGGTGTCAAGTTGAGGCTATGTTTTACCCGGACAAGTATGTTCAAAGCACAAGTTAACAAGAATGAAAAATAAATAGCTTGCTGCAACGTGTTGGAGAAGCAGTATGTTATTCTGAGACTATTAACCAGATAAATATAATTGACGAGGTACCGGTATCAATTCACGAATCTTCCACATGGTGGCTTGTTCGTTATCATGGATCTCATATAAAAATATCAAAGGCACAAATTACCAGCAAGAGCTAATAACTCTTATGCACGTGTATAGTCGCTTACAAAGAAATGAAATATACCGACTACATCATGAAAATGAAAATGTGGTTGGCCATGATAATCGTGGAAGAATACCTATCAAACAAGTTATCCAACAAATACCGAGAAGTAGAGTCCTCTTTAGTTAGGATGGCCCAGAGTTAAAGTGTTTCGTCTTGTTCTCACGAAATCTCACGCTTGGGGGTATTATGTAGACATCTCGATTAAGTGTAGACAGTCGGTTACGAGCTAGTAAAATCGAGTAAAGCGCAAATTTATACTTTAAATTGATCAGTATTGTTGCATAAGGCGAACTATTGTCTCCGCTGTTTGTAAAATATCTCATTTAGGTTTACTATAGGAAGTTAAAAGGTGTTGTTGTCCTTCTCCCCTACGCGGGCGGGAGGTACCTCACTCTAACTAGTCTAAAAATTAGGTGGGATTCGAACGAAATGTAAACAATTTGTAATCGGTTGTAACCGGGCAGTGTAAATATAAAACTCGACCTACAAACTCGGCTTCAACCTCGCTAAGGCTCTAGTCTTACTCGGCCAGCCCTTACAAGGGGCTCTGTTCTGACAAAAAATCGAAGCACACTTTAAGCCTCTCGCAACTCGGCTTCAACCTCGCTAAGGCTCTGGTCTACCCGGTCACCCCTTACAAGGGGCTCTGTTCCGAAAAAAAGTCGAAGTACACTTTAAGCTTCTCGCAACTCGGCTTCAACCTCGCTAAGGATCTGGTCTTACTTGGCCATCCCTTACAAGGGGCTCTGTTCCGGCAAAAAGTCGAAGCTCACTTTAAGCCTCTCGCAACTCAACTTTAGCCTCGCTAAGACTGTGGTCTTACTCGGTCATCCCTTGCAAGTGGCTTTGTTCCGGCAAAAAGTCGAAGGTCACTTTAAGCCTCTCGCAACTCAGCTTCATCCTTGCTAAGACTCTGGTCTTACTCAGTCATCCCTTGCAATGGGCTCTGTTCTGGAAAAAAGTCGAAGCTCACTTTAAGCCTCTCACAACTCGGATTCAAGTGATCAGATAATACATCATACGATAATAATAAAATATATTAAAATTAATAAAAATGGAATTGAAAACAAAAGAGAGAAAGGGTGAGGGCCTCATATGAAACCATCAGCCAAAAGAATAACACCAATAATATTATTCACCAAGAAAACTTTAAAACGAAATTAAAAAGAAAAAGTGCGAATGAGTGATATTGTGAGAGATTATAAAATTGTGTAATTTATGGATGAATCACTGGGACAAACTAAGGTCCTATTTATAGACTTGAATTAGGTTAAACAAGCTTAGGGAGTAAGTAAGTTATCCAAAAGTCTAATGAGAAGCCCAAAGTTTGATCTCCACAAAAGAAAAGAAAATTAGCAACAAAAAAGAAATAAAAAAACACAACATACAAGTTTTGAACCCAAAACATCATATTTGCAAGCTTAATTCTTTATCAATTGTGCTATGTTACTCATTTGTAAATAAACTCAATTGAAAGTATATGAAAGGTGTGTAAATATTTATTATTTTAAAAATACAAATAATTTGAAATAAATTATTATATTTTTAACTCGACTTGAGAACGAATATCTATAAAAATCAAATAATATTATAAAAATAATGTTTAAAATATTTTTGACTGGACTTGAGAATGAATATCTATAAAAATCAAATAATATTATAAAAACAATGTTTAAAATATTTTTGACTGTAGAAATAAAAGTGCGGAGAATTTTTGGATATGACACTCGGTCAAGTTAATAATCCTTCAACCATTATCTAATGAAACCTGAGGCTTTTATTGACCACCAGCGAAATTAAACCTACCCTAAACGACGAAGATTATTTTAATCGGACGAATAAAACCCATTGTGGTGACTGCCATACTCAACAAAGTTTGCTAGGGGCTCATTAGCATGTAACTAAACAAATGAATGATCACCCAACCTCATACAGGCTTAGGGCTCTTATAAGAAACAAACACCGTGACTGATTTCATAAATCAGCCAAAGGTAACGTAAAACTGGGAACTTTGTATCCAGACACTTACTCTCGTAGACTTTGTACCCGAGAGGCCCTCCTTAGAAGTAAATCACGTCGCCAAGTGTTGAGGAACTTATAAATTACAAAAAGAAAAAACCATTAGTTAGCAAACGAACTCTCTCGGTTAGTTACAACTCAGACAAAATACTTCACTTCAGTTAACTGTATTCCCGGAAGGCTCCACGTATACCCCACGAACTTCGTGCCCAAGGGGATTTAATGTATACACCCGGGATATTTTATCTAAGTCGGCCTGTGAACTCGATTAAAACACTAAGGGGCTCTATACGCCTATTAAGAATCCTTTCCGGGATAAAGCGAATACCCCGGTCCAATCGACTCAAAAGTTGGGATAAACAAACATTAAATTCACTACTTTGTGATACTGCCAAAGTTAGTCTAAACCGATGACTGGACAAACAACCCAAAAGTGTGAAACATCCTGTGAAAATATTGGGAGTAGTACCAGTAAACATAAGTGAAAATGAGCTAATCAAAACCTTTACCTATACTAAAGTCGGATGGACTATATCTCCAACGTGAGCACAATGCATACCTATAAGGTACTAAAGTCAAATAAACATAAGCACGTTGCGATGGAAAGAAATTATCCAATCATTGAATAATGCATCTGACTTACTAAACTTATAAGAGTCTTTCATTATTTTGATTCTCTCAAATAGATGAGAACCCACTTCGGCTCTCCAAACTGATATATATCAGATAGCGCAAGGCTATAAGTAAGTTATTCCATCACCAAGAGCACGTACTCGTGGAAAGTTTACATATGTCGAGATAAATTAAAAACACTTCACCCTTGCAGACCCAGTTCCCTTACATGCCTCATACTTTTGGGGCTTATGTAAATCCCGGAAAATATTTGTATCGAGGCCGAGGTATGAACTCAGATAGATAATAAGGTACAAAGTCGTCCCTCTGAGACCGGAGCTGACTACTTGATAGAACAAGATTTGGCTCTGCAATTTTATCTCCGAGTTTTAATGATAACAAATGAATTTGTTTGTATGAACAATTTTGGTACTCTAATGTTTTTTTTTTAATATCTAAAAAACAGGTTCTGCTTCTGATGAATGGTGTGACCAAGACATTATTAGAGAATAAGTTCCACTTCTGCGCTACACAAGTTTTGATGAACAATAGAAAGACACTCTAGAAGACTCTGAAGTGTAGACTCTGATATGAAGTCTAAAGAAACCAGTCAGAAGATATGAGGACAGAAGTTCTACTTGAGTCCATGTGCTAAAGACTCATGTTTCTGAAGACAACGTGTTCTAAAGAAACCAGTCAGAAGATCCGAAGACAAAAGTTCTACTTAAGTCCATATGCTAAAGACTCAAGTTTCTAAAGACCCATGGTTCTAAGAAAAGGATTCTAAAGACCAAGTGTTGAAGACTCTGAAGACAGAAGTTATAAAAACTCTGAAGACTTGAAGTTCTGAAGACTCAAGGTTCTAGAAAAGGTTCTCACTACCAAGTGATGAACACTCTGAAGATGCAGTTTTGAAGACTCTGAAGACTTGAAGTTCTGATGACCTTGTGTTATGTTCTCGCTTTTAAGAACATACTCGCAGAAGCCTCTGAAGTGCATAAGGAAATAATATAACATTAATGTGGTACAATAGTACATGGTACAATAAAAAACTTTTTATTCCACTACCATGAAAGGACGGAAGCGTTGCACGATCTTGTCCCCCACGTTACTGCTCAAGTCGCCAATATTTATGGAAATCCCAAGAGTAACCCTCAACGGATATATTATTTTATTTCCTATATAAAGGCTTGAAGACTAAGATAGAAATCTATTAATTCACTGATTATCCATGCATAAGTGTTGTTCATGGCTTTCATACTTTTAGTCTATTGCTCTTAAATATTTTTTACTAATCAGCTTGTGTAGAAGCATTTCCATTGTAAATGAATTATTCAAACATTTGTTTGATTGTTCCATTAGAGAACGGTTAGGTTAGAATTCTTGAGAAGTTTAAGACTTATGTGTATTAAAGACTGTTCCTTGAGAGACCAGTTAGGTCAGTATTCTTGAGAAGTTTAAGACTTGTGTGTCTTAAAGATTGTTCCTTGAGAGACCAATTAGGTTAGTATTCTTGAGAAGTTTAAGACCTGTGTGTCTTAAAGATTGTATAGTTATTCACATACAGTTGGTGTGTGCAAGTGTAATAATTAGTTTGATTATTGGATTAAGTTCTCGTTTGAGAGAGGCAAAATCACCTTGGCGGGTGGAGTAGACTAGCTTGATAGTTTTCAAGTGAACTAGTATAAACATAACTTGTTCTTTCCTTC